CACCACTCCAATAAATAGTGTAATATAAAAAAAAGGAACAACTGGGAGGAACAGCTCAGTATCAGGCTGCTCCTCGTCCTGAAGTGGACTGCAAGGTTTACGAAATGTTGACATTCCAAGAATGGACATGGAGGAAACCCGCGAAACACAAAATCTTTATATAACTTTTATATTTATTAAAAACGCATTTATTTTGTATTTGAAAAAGCTTTTCAAATAATCAAGGTAACACAAAATACCCGAAACTAAACGAGACACAATCCGATTCGTGCAAGTAAGGCACTATAAACATGAATATTCGCAAATCCGCTATTTATACTTCTTTCTTCATTCCTTGCTCTGTTCCTATTTCGCTGCTGAGTTGAGAAGATTATGGTCAGTTATAGTTATTATAGATTATGATTGTTAGAGGTTATAGCTTCTAAGCCGTTGAAAACTTGTAACTTCGTATTTCTACTTCGAAATTTTATCAAGATTTAAGATTAAGAGATGAAAAGAAGGATACAAAAAACTGAAATATTATATATTAATGGAGGCAAAAAAATTTATAAAATACCTTGTTGTGTTGCGTAAACTATTAATAAATCAGAAAAAGATATTCGATTATTTAAATTTCCTGCGGATAATATTCGTATTAACAATTTGTATGTATTGCTGTAAAATAAATACATGACTTGTGAATAAACATCATTACACTTCCTTGCAGATGAGAAATTTCAATTCTTTTCTTTAAATTGACATATAAGACATATTTGTCACCTTATCTAGAAATAACCTGAACGCCAGGTACTCTTCAGATCCTGCAATATTACAATAGATATTCAACTGATTTTGAGAGCAAAAATGGAATGAAAGGAGCTACAAAATTTCAAACAGCAAATACAAATCATAACCTGTAATGATCATAACTCGTCACAGCTCAGTGATGGAATGGGGAGCAAGGAGTGAGAAAAGGAATAAAAATGGTGAATGCGAATACCTATGTTTCTAGTGCTCTAGTCGAGTGATCTCACAGATTAGATTGGATGACATGCTCACTTGTCTTAAATCGGTTTGTGTCACTGAACAGCACATGAATGGAGAACATGAATGCAACTACTCCAACTGCAACTTTACCTGTGATCCAAGTGCTCTCTGAGTTAATTTGGAGTATACGACGCGAACAAACCTCTATCCATCAAGAGTTTAATCCAGATCAGAATGTAAGAATCAACCAACTATAGTCGAGCATTTTCCTGTCATTCGACTGTAACAGGGTTCGACTGTAACAATACTCAACTGTAGTTGGTTCTTACCTCTCTCGGTGGAAACTAGGCCAGTGTAATGTTCTGTCTCCTAACTGGAAAACAGCCTTTGATTGGTTGATTTACTTGTGCACTATGCATTATGCGTTATGTAATAATATCTAAATGACATGTCGTACACGGATGTGTGTTCTAAAAATGTGTGATCTTTATATTCGATTTTAATAATTCTACATTTTAAGTACATTTTAATATGTTCAACAAAGCTTCAGTGCAATGCTTCATGTTCTGTGATGCTAACAATGCTGCATCTTTATCAATTTGTGAGTGACTTAGGAATTATGGACATGTATGCTACCCTAACAGCACAAAGTTGATTCTAAGTCAACTTTGAGTCGACTATAGTTTCTAGACGTCTGAAAAATGGATGTCGACTTTAGACGACTTGCAGACGTCTCTAAATCATACAATGTCCCACTTTAAAGCCGACTTTAAGTCAACTATCTTCTAGGCTGTGGTCCGATGCTCACAACGCTCATAAACAGCATTCATCCTTGTTTAACTATAGTTAACAACAAGGACGAAATGATTCCACATTTAAGATTTTATGAGCGTAAATCATACTAGACGTCCAAAATCGATATTAGAAGGATGTCTGAACAAAGTCGACTCTTACAGTCGACATATCGACAGTTTGTGCTGTTAGGATCATTCTTGCTGAGGAGGACTCCAAAGAGAGTCGAAACATTCAAATTAAAGAAGATATCAATCCAATATCTGAGTATTGATTGTTCACTAAATAATTGCACCGTTTATCGTTATTGCTGACTTTCATTAGCCTATTATATTTATTTTTTTGTATTGTTTAAAAT